CTACCCTACTCATTAAACATATCATAACCTAATGCTCTGGGTGATGATTTTTGGTCTTCTGAGTGTTTGCAGTTTCTGAAATGCTCTGGGTCCTCTCTAGCTTAAATCTTAATAGATTCTCTTGCCCACCCAGATTCATCATGGTAATATAAAAAAGCCCAATTTTCTGGGGTGCCTGGGTGGCTCAGTCAGTTAAGCATCTGCCTTTGGCTCAGGTCATGATCCCAGGGTCCTGGGATCAAGCCCCACGTTTGGCTCCCTGCTCAGTGGGGAGCCTGCTTCTCCCTTTCCCTCTGCTGCTCGCCCTGCTTGTGTGCTCTCTCTCTGTCAAATAAATAAATAAATTCTTTAAAAAATAAAAAATTAAAAAATTAAAAAGCCCCATTTTCAAGCTGTGGGGCAAGCTGGTTGGCAGACCACACAGGGGACAGATTAAGAGAGAAGCTGAGAAAGGAGGTAATTCAGACAGTGCATCTTTACAGTCTTACGTCCACTTTCCCTGGGCTAGCCCCTGCTTTCCTCACTTAGCCATCTTGATAGCTTCGGGCCCCAGAGCTCTTCACTATAAGCCTGGAGAAGCCAAGAATGAGGTGCCAGGAAGATGGAACACCGGTGTGGGTCCAAACCACCGGAACTCTAATAACAAAGGCCCAAACCCGCGAAGAAGGCAATGATCACTCCTGCCTTGTAACACAAAGTTGAGGTTTTCAGAACTCCCACTGGTTTAATTCTTTTATTTAACCCAACCAATGGTAATCTGAAAGCAGCCATCTGAGATAAAGGAAATACTGCCCTGCTCTACACCAAATCTACCAATACCACAAGATAGTTTTAGACAGAGCTCTTCTTCTAAGACTCATTAATAAGATGAGGAAAATTCCAACAAATTAAAAGCCAATTGGAGGTCCATTTCTCAAGCCACCATTATTAAAGGAATCCTAACTGTCTTTTGTAGCTCAGTAGGTCTTAAAATAGGATTTGGTAAACGTGTGTGGATGGAGGTGTGCGCTGCCTGGACATGGGCAAATGGATGAGGTGAACCTCTCCAGTGCTGGGACTGAAGAATCTCTGCTGAAACTACTCTTGGGGTGCCTGAGTGGCTCAGTCATTAAGCATCTGCCTTTGGCTCGGGTCATGATCCCAGGGTCCTGGAATTGAGCCCCACATCTGGCTCCCTGCTCAGCGGGAAGCCTGCTTCTCCTTCTCTCCCTCCCCCTGCTTGTGTTCCCTCTTTCTCAAATGAGTAAATAAAATCTTAAAAAAAAAAAATGAAACTACTCTTATACATCAAGAGCCCCTACTTGAGGATGCTATGTTTCCTTTAAATTGATCTGTATATGAGATTGAATATTATCTCCAAATCCAGTTACCTTAGCAATAAGTATTACACAAATCCCAACGAGACAAGGTGTTTAAATCAATCTTGCTGGTTGAATCTGAACCTATTCACATACTTTAGTTTTTTCATTTGCTAATCAATATCGAGAAGTGAGTCCCAAAACTACAAGAGGAATGCAGAAGAGTATCTGGCTTTGCCTTTGTGTGGGTGATTAAATCATCAAGGAAAGGTGATGGGTTATTTTCTTCCTGAACATCTCTAGAGACTTAAGAAAATTTTGAGCTGGTAACCACCTAACGGGCCAAGAATCTGTACGCAGATTCTCCTGAATAGTTTTGCTCGTGGGTGGCAGCGATTAAAACTACTGGTCGGCAAAACCATAGCTTGAAGACCAAATCCTAGTCCAGTACCTGTTTTTTTAAGGCCTGGGAGCCAAGAATGCTGCTACATTTTTAAATAGTTGAGAAAAGAGTCAAAGAAGAATATGTCATGACACGTGAAATTTAAATGACACTCAAATTTCTGTGTACATAAATAAAGTTTTATTTGAATGCAGTCACACCATCTGTTCACATGTTCTCTGTGGCTGCTTTCATGCTACAGAGTTGCAACAGAGACCACATGTCCTGCGAGGCTGAAAATATTTACTACCTGATCCTTTACAGCAAAAGTTGGCTGGTCTCTGACCTAGACAACTGCAATAGTAATATCAATTGTGATGGTAGCATCAATATCCACTTTAATAGTGTTATCAATTTTCAATCACTTGTCCCCATCTTCAAGTTTTACTTCCTTCATTTATGATCCTAAAATGAACTCATCTGAAAATTTTAAGCTAAAAGAAAAAAATCCAGCAAGAGTGTCATCTCTGGCCAGGCAATGTGAGGGTGAAATCCATTTTAGCATCCAATGAATACAACAGGTGTTGTTTTTTTGTTGTTGGCTTTTTTTTTTTTTTT